CCAGCACGCCACCCTAACACCCACACTGCTCCACACTTACACCCTCAGTGGGCCGCCCTGATACCCTCAGTGGGCCGCCCTGATACCCTCAGTGGGCCGCCCTGATACCCCTAGTGGGCCGCCCTGACACCCTCAGTGGGCCGCCCTGATACCCCAGTGGGCGCCCACACCTCAGTGGGCCGCCCTGATACCCCCAGTGGGCCGCCTGATCTCAGTGGGCCGCCCTGACACCCTCAGTGGGCCGCCCTGATACCCTCAGTGGGCCGCCCTGACACCCTCAGTGGGCCGCCCTGATACCCTCAGTGGGCCGCCCTGATACCCTCAGTGGGCCGCCCTGACACCCTCAATGTTTAACAGCACCTTTGTTCTATATAAATATTCACCCAAATAAGTAACACCAACTTATTGATCAAGTTATTCAACAAGTGAGTCAACTTGTTGCTGGCATCAAGAGGCAGCTGAGCTTGTATCTCACTCAAAGGTCGAGCGCAGGTGAGCTGATTAATCCAAACAGGTGGCTCGCTCCCACGCCTCGCTCTCAAACAGAGAGAGGGGGGCCAGTAGAGTCTTATCACTTGAACAGGGAAGTCAGACACGTAACTCAAGTGTTCTCTCTATGTATTATTCATCTCGCTTCCCTGGAGAGAATTCATAGTTTATTTTGTCAGATTATATCTGTGTATAGCTGCTTCGACAATAAAAGAAAAATAGCAAGAAGTGTTTACATTAAACCCTGCCACTTAAAGAGTTCCAGAACTTAATTAAAACAATTAATGTGATACCAAAACAGCTATCACAAGTGGCCCACCCTGACACCCTCAACAGGCCACCCTCACACCCTCTGCAGGCCACCCCGACACCTTCTGCAGACCACCCTGACACCCTCAGTGGGCCACACTAACACCCTTAGTGGGCCACACTAATGCCCTCAGCGGGCCACTGTAACACCCTCAGCTGGTCACAGTTTCCACAGTCCAGTTATTGGGCTTTAATATACTCTATGTAAGACCATTGTTGACTTGTAACATTAACCACGAGTTCACACGTAAGCTACCAAGTTACTGACTAGTTATTGCATCTCTTGAAGACGACAACTTCCCTTGGTCGTGAAAACCCGCAAATTAGTCACAGGATTTGCAAATTTTCTTTTCTTCCGGTATAAATAATTAACGTGTCCGTCCAACGCCATTTTTGTTTCTTTACTTACAAACGTTACCAACGACTGAATGATTACAGTAATAATGTAATGTAGTTTTATCAAGGTTAGGTTAGGTTAGGTTTATAAGGCCATTATTTATAGTGAAAAAATTATGGAAAACATAATAAGAATACTGCAATTCCTGCGACCAAGGAGCCAACCAAACATGACCTGGTCAACCTAACTAAAATTTATGGTAAAGTTATTAGGTGAGCTAATACGCCATGTTGTAAACAGATTCGTATCCCATTTATCAATAACAATATGGATATGTATTCGGCAAAGTTAGTCCTTGTGAAATGTTATTTGTGATTTTCTCGAGGTGTGAATGGTAAGAGTTTTGGGAGGAATAAGGTAATGTTATATATATTAGCAGTTGGCTGTGTTGTGGGTCGAGTCAGCTCAGCTCACAACACCTAAACCCTCACTGTACATCCTCATATTTAACACATTAACCTCAACAAATACAGCCTATGCTGACCACCACTTACCTTTTGATGTTTTAATCCCTTACCAACGATGACACTTCACTGTTGCACTTTATAACACTTCACCGTGACACTTTATACACCTGCAACACTTCACAGTGGCACTTCCTAACACGACAACAGCGGCAACTAACCTGACACCTCGCGATTCATGACACTGATTCATAAAACATCTCAAAGCAGGTGTCGGAGCTTCACGGGACTGAATGAACCTGTCTCATTACTGTGGGAAGACTTCGATTGTATCTCTTTGAATTTAGCAAATACTTGATTCGTTGATCTAGATCCCATGTGGTCCACTAATGGAGGGTCACTTATGTGGTCCACTGATGGAGAGTCACTTATGTGGTCCACTGTTGGAGGGTCACTAATGTGGTCCACTGATGGAGGGTCACTTATGTGGTCCACTGATGGAGGATCACTTATGTAGTCCATTGAGATGATGGAGGGTCACTTACTGTATGTGGCCCACTGACTAACTGAGCTGCCCACCACAGGCCATTATAATGTGGTAACTTGTGTGGTAACGTTTCTCTATACTGTACATACAAGGTGCGGAAGTATAGTAACCAAATATTGTTTCCTACAGTATTGGTCTCATAATTAATGTTTTTATTAGAACTTAATCTAGCTCTCACATTAGTGATTTGTGTATAAAGTCGCCAGGCGTGAATAGCTCCACCTGTTGGGACACTCCCGGCAACTCCCGTCATGTTGTTTAACTCGTGCTATAAGAAGCTCCATCTGTGGGTTGAAAATCTGAACTGAACCAGAGGACTCACGGGGTTCCTTCCAGCGGTTCATTGTGATAACAGAGGACAGGGTGTTGTTAGGTGACTACACACTGCACATAACAGCAAAACAAATAGTCTGTTTCATTATGGAAATGTGACACTCGGACCAGCCCACCAATATGACGTACCGTAGAGGTTTGTGATTGGATTATGTGGCAGTGTCCTCTGTGGCAGAAAATTTTAGTTAGTCTACAACACTTCATTAATTATTTGTTTTCTAACTGACCAATCACACACCACGACGAGAGAGAGAGAGAGAGGGGGAGATTTGACATTTCCTATAATGAAATAGATATACACTTCCCTCTCCCTCACTAAACATAACATAACCTCTCCCCTCACCCTCTCCCTCACCAACATACAACACTCCTCCCTCACCCCTTCCTCCCTCACCCTTCCCCTCTCCTCACCTCTCCTCCTCACCAACACATAACACTTCCTCCCCATTTCACCCCTTCTCTCCCCCCCTGTCTCACTCCCTGACAATCGCCTCAATAGACTCCCACCCCACAAAGGTGAGGCAGCTTCTCCTCCTGACTAACACACATTCTCACCCTGACTACCGTAATACACAGTCTCCCCCTGACTACCGTAATACACATTCTCTCCCTGACACCTGTAACACACATTCTCCCCCTGACTACCGTAATATACATTCTCCCCCTGACTCCAGCCTCCCCCAATAGCCACACCTTCGCCGCCATTTTATTACCTTAATATTAAATATCCTAATACATAAGTAGCTATCCTATCTGTGTTGAATTAGTTGAGCCGCTGATCTATGCGGCATTCAGTGACTGTAGCCTCATAGTCGATATCTGCAGCAGTTGTCGGCATTGGGGCAGAAGCTTTCGTTCCCCTGAGGCAGAGCAAAGCCGACCGAAGGAGAGAGAAAGACAGTCGACATCTCATCCAGGCTGTAACATAACTTCTGGGCTGCTGCTTCTCTTCGGAGATCACCTCCGCGAGTCTGGCGTAGAAACATCTTGCACTCTCCCCATATGCCCTTCTCTTGTCGTTCTCGTTCCTCCTATGTGCAACATCGAGAGCCAGGTTACGGTGACATGCGGCCATGGGATCAAAAATCCTGATATTGAAGAAAGCTCGCTGTCCCCGCGTCCAGCATCCTCGAGCACTGACGTCAACACGTGCTTCGTTAGATGTGTTTGAAGTCCAATGTTGGAAGATCTCACCGTCCAATGGAAGGAGGGTCGGTTCTACCATGACATCCCGGCAGATTTCCTTCAACATATTTGCTGTGAGGTCCCTTACTTCGTCATGCCTCATGCATATGAAGCCCCCTTTCTTGCACACCATGGCGTGATCGACGTCATAGGAAGAGCCACACACGCATTGGGAGGGCAACCGTTCTACTGGCCGACCGTACCTTAGAGCATTGGCATCTGTAAATTCTTGTTTATTGAGACTGACACCATTTGCCCTTATCGGTAACGTAGTTAACCAGTTCGAGGCGCCCACCTCCTGCGCAATAGCTACTTTTTTTTCAAATTTTCTGGTACCGCAACACACATTCTCCCCCTGACTACCGCAACACACATTCTTCCCTGACTACCGCAACACACATTCTTCCCTGACTACCGCAACACACATTCTCCCCCTGACTACTGTAACACAAATTCGGATCCCTCATGTGCTGCCCCCTATAATCCTCTGCGGCTGTTTTGCGACGATACATCACACCCAATGTCTATGATTATGTGAGGGAGCTGAGCATGCCTACAACCATGGTCCAGTGAGGGAGAGGGGGGGGGAGGAGGTTGGTGGAGGTAGGCGAGGAGAGGTAGGAGGAGAAGGGGGGGGGGCAGAGGGAAGGCCTGTCATACCTAATGATATGGTGGGTGTGTTCTCCTGAAAAGAGGTATTCTTCCTGTGAGAATGGGAAGGGTTCAGAAGAGACGAGTGGCTACCTTGTCCTCCTGCCTTCCTCCTCCTCCCCCTCCTTGTCCTGTCTTCCTCCTCCTCTTTCTCCTCCTCCTCTTCCTCCTCCTCCTCCTTGTCCTGCCTTCCTCCTCCTCCTCCTCCTCCTCCCTCCTCCTCGGAGGAGAAGAGGGATCATCACACCCCCCCCTCGAGATCATCTTCCCCCTCGGGATCATCACCCTCATCGGAATCATCTCTCCTATCGGGATCATCACCCTCCTCGGGATCATCACCTCCATCGGGATCCACACCCCCATCCGGACCATCTCCCCCTCGGGATTATCACTTCCATCAGGATCCTCACCCCCATCCGGACCATCTCCCCCTCGGGATTATCACCTCCATCGATCCTCACTCCCCATCCGGACCATTCCCCGGGATTATCACTTTATCGGGATCCTCACCCCCATCCGGCTTTAACCCTGGCATCATCACACCCCATCTGATCATTACCCTCAAAATCATCACCCCTCGATCACTTCGATCACCCACCTCTTGATCATCAATTTCGATCATCACCTAGGATCATCATCCCCCGATCATCAGAGTTAAGCTACCGGGACAATATATTAATTTTTCTTATGCCCCATTAAAAATATCCCTCACAGAAAAGGGAATGGTGTATTGGCTTAGCTGTTTGTAAAGAGGTGGCTGGGAGCAGTGTGAGGCCGGGGAGCGTGAGGTGGCCAGGAGATGTGAGAGGTGTCCAGGAGTTGTGAGAGGTGCACAGGAGATGTGTAAGGTGGCCAGAGATGTGCGTGTGTCCAGGGAGATGTGGAGAGGTGTCCAGGAGCTGTGGAGAGGTGTCCAGGAGTTGTGAGAGGTGGCCAGGGAGATGTGGAGATGTGTCCAGAGATATGAGAGGCGTCCAGGAGTTGTGAGAGGTGGCCAGGAGATGTGTAAGGTGGCCGGGAGATGTGAGAGGTGCTGTCCAGAGATGTGAGATGTCCAGGAGTTGTGGGAGAGGTGGCCAGGAGATGTGTAAGGTGGCCAGGAGATGTGAGAGAGGTGTCCAGGAGATGTGAGAGGTGTCCAGGAGTTGTGAGAGGTGTCCAGGAGTGCTGTGAGAGGTGGCCAGGAGATGTGGCAGGAGATGTGAGAGGTGTCCAGGAGCTGTGAGAGGTGTCCAGGAGTTGTGAGAGGTGCCAGAGATGTGTAAGGTGGCTGTGAGATGTGAGAGGTGTCCAGGGAGATGTGAGAGGTGTCCAGGAGTTGTGAGAGGTGGCCAGGATATGTGTAAGGTGGCCAGGAGATGTGAGAGGTGTCCAGGAGTTGTGAGAGGTGTCCAGGAGTTGTGAGAGGTGTCCAGGAGATGTGAGAGGTGTCCAGAAGTTGTGAGAGGTGTCCATGAGTTGTGAGAGGTGGCCTGGAGTTGTGTGAGGTGGCCAGAAGTTGTGTGTGGTGGGCAGGAGTTGTGTGAGGTGGCCAAGAGTTGTTAGAGGTGGCCAGGAGTTGTGTGAGGTGGCCCGGAGCTGTATTAGGTGGCCAGAAATTGTGTGAGGTGGCCAGGAGTCGTGTGAGGTGGCCAAGAGTTGTTAGAGGTGCCCAGGAGTTGTGTGAGGTGACCAGGAGCTGTATTAGGTGCCAGAAGTTGTGTGGCCAGGAGTCGTGAGGTGCCCAGGAGTTATGTGAGGTGGCCAGTGGCCAGAGTTGTGGAGATGGCCAAAGTTGTGTGTGGCCAGAGTTTTGTGAGGTGGCCAAGAGTTGTCTGAGGTGGCCAGAAGTTGTGTGGGGTGGCCAGGAGTTGTGTGAGGCCAGGAGCTGTGTGAGGTTGCCAAGAGTTGATAGAGGTGGCTAGGAGTGTGAGGTGGCCAGAAGTTGTATGAGGTGGCTGAGTTGTGTGAGGAGGCCAGGAGTTGTAAGGAGGTGGCCAGAAGTTGTGAGAGGCCAGAAGTTGTGTGAGGTGGCCAGAAGTTGTGTGTGTGTGTGGTAGAAGTTGTGTGTGGTGGCTAGGAGTTGTATGAGGTGGCCAGAAGTTGTGAGAGGAGGCCAGGAGTTGCAGGTGGCCAGGAGTTGTGTGAGGTGGCCAAGAGCGTGTGAGGTGGCCAGAAGTTGTGTGAGGTGGCCAGGAGTTGTGTGAGGAGGCCAGGAGTTGTATGAGGTGGCCAGGAGTTGTGAGAGGAGGCCAGGAGAAGGAGTTGTGTGGCCAGAAGTTGTGTGAGGTGGCAAGAGTTATGTGAGGTACAGAAGTTGTGTGAGGTGGCCAGGAGTTGTGTGAGATGGCCAAAAGTTGTGTGTGTTGGCCAGGAGTTTTGTGAGGTGCAAGAGTAGTTAGAGGTGGCCAGAAGTTGTGTGGGTGGGAGTTGTGTGAGGTGGCCAGAGCTGTGTGAGGTGGCAAGAGTTGATAGAGGTGGCCAGGAGTTATGTGAGGTGGCCAGAAGTTGTGTGTGTTGGCCAGAATTGTATGAGGTGGCCAGGGTTGTAAGGAGGTGGCCAGGGGGTGTGGGGTGGCTAGAGTTGTATGAGGCCAAAAGTGTGTGTGTGTTGGCCAGAGTTGTATGAGGTGGCCAGTTGTGAGAGGTGGCCAGGAGTGTGTGTGAGGTGTCCAGGAGCTGTGTGAGGTGGCCATACACACAAACAACACACACACACACACACACACACACACACACACACACACACACACACACACACACACACACACACAAATATACACCAGGAAAAACATACGAAATGACAACTTTAAAACACCAAGATGAACAAAGAATCAAACAAACCTAGTGTGATAGACAGACAGACAGACAGACAGACACAGAAACGTAACTGGTGAAGGCAGAGTTAGAGCTACACAGATAATCCACATTGGTTGAAATTGGTCGCTTTTGTCAAGAGAGATTTTTGTAAACATATTTTTTGTGATGTTTTTTGCGGCCTCACCTCACCTCACCTCCTGACAGACGCGAGGTTCACAACGACGGCTGAGCTTTATATGTCTGGTGTGAAATGATGCGTGGAGGGATAGAGGGGGAAAGGAGGGAGTGAGGGAGGGTGGGGTGGTGAGGGGGAGGGTAGTGAGGCGGACAAATGAGAAGTGTAAGGAAGTGAGGGGAGGGGAGGAAAAAAGAAAGAGAGAGATGGAAGGAAAGGGGATTTATTCAGCAGCTAGTGAGTTACTCTAATGGTGGAGTCCACCCTGGCAGGGTGCTGGTCCACCCAAGGGTTGTTCCGCCATCGACTAGAACACTTGATAGTGTACATAATATTGACTGCAAAGTCTACAAGGGTCAGTGTACAAGGAAGGAACTTAATCCTTCCTCACAGTCCCCCACACCAATCAGGAATCTAAGACCAATCGGAGGAGAGTTAAATATAATATCTCCCGAACAAGAGACTTCCCCACCACCAGAAACTTCCCCACCACCAAAAACTTCCCCACCACCAGAAACTTCCCCACCACCAGAAACTTCCCCACCACCAGAAACTTCCCCACCACCAAAAACTTCCCCACCACCAGAAACTTCCCCACCACCAGAAACTTCCCCACCACCAGAAACTTCCCCACCACCAGAAACTTCCCCACCACCAGAAACTTCCCCACCACCAAAAACTTCCCCACCACCAGAAACTTCCCCACCACCAGAAACTTCCCCACCACCAGAAACTTCCCCACCACCAAAAACTTCCCCACCTCCAGGAACACTCTACTTTATCTCACCTGATGATTAAAACACCCAAAAGCTACTTGGGGTGGTTAGGTTAGATTAGGTTATGTTAGGTTAGGTTAGGTTATGTTAGGTTAGTTTAGGTTAACATTAACTTAGGTTAGTTTAAGTTAGGTTAACATTAGGTTAGGTTAGATTAACATTAGAACGGTTAATATCCAGGCTGAATAAGGTGGGGGTCTAATGTTCAGGTGACACAGGAAATACATCGCCTTTATTAATATAAGGTTCATTTTTATCTCACATGGTGGGTATTAATTAGTAGTGTTACCTTTAATAGAGAGACGCACTACAGCTGCTGCACGGTCGACATACAGGCTGTGTTAAACTTGTAAGATGGTTTCCTGAATATATATATATCGATCTATGTATGTATGTATGTATGTATGTATGTATGTATGTAGGTATGTATGTATGTATGATGAAAATAATGTCTGGAAATGAGAGAGAGAGAGAGAGAGAGAGAGAGAGAGAGAGAGAGAGAGAGAGAGAGAGAGAGAGAGAGAGAGAGAGAGAGAGAGAACCGTTCACAGAAAAAAATAAAACAGCAAAAACATTTATAAATATGAACGAAAAAAAGTGTTAATAAAAGTTAAAAATGGTCAGAAATATTTGGGTTAATCTGAAGATAAATAAACTTGGGACTTTCACTTGAGGCAAAGAATAAGATAATATATTTTCATTATTTATCTCTACTAACTCGTCTTAAGTGAAAGTTTCTGGTTAATTTAGTCAAAGTATAATTTTTCTGTTGGTATTTAACAATTCAATTATTGTTTATATTAGAAGTTTAACAGTGAGATGACGTCTTATCCAGGGTGATCAAAAAGTCCCTGTGCACCTGTGATAATTACGAATATATTTGTTTTTTGTTATACCTACTTTGTTATAGACTTTGTTCCACTTGTAGTCAATATTATAAAAGGTAAGGATAAATTATAGACGTGGATAACATTTCTATAGTTTACTCTAAGAAGAATAAAGTCTATAACAATGGTGATATAACAAGGAAGAACTGTGGTGTTAGTTATTATAGGTGCACAGGGACTTTTGGATCACCTTGTACCTTGACAGACACGAGACACACCTCAACCTAACCTGGCCATCTACACCACCTGTGGTTCCCGACCTCACGTTACCTGGCCATCTACACCACCTGCTGCCCGCCATGCCATGATTACCTGCACCAACAATCATACCAAAACTACAGTCTTTGTTCAAACACGACGCCATATTGGATTTTTTGCAGCTCGGGGCAAGACAGTGTAAAATCCATCCGAGTCTTAGAAAAATTGGTCAATGTTATGAAGGTACAACGAACAACCTACGTGTAATCCTAACCTAACCTAACCCGTCCTAGGATGGTTAGGTTCGGTTAGGTTAGGTTATGTACAACAAGGAGGAGGGAGGGAGGTTGACCAGGTGAAAGAACTATGGTGCTGACTGTATGGTCCACCACTCCCCCAATACCTCCACCACTCCCCCAATACCTCCACCACTCCCCCAATACCTCCACCACTCCCCCAATACCTCCACCACTCCACCAATACATCGACCACTCCACCAATACATCGACCACTCCACCAATACCCCCACCACTCTCCCAATACCTCCACCATTCCCCTAATACCTCCACCACCCACCACCCACCACTCCAATACCTCCACCACAACACTCCCCACCTCCACCATACCTCCACCATTCTCCCATACCCCAATACCTCCATCACCCCCACATCCACCACCTCCAATACCTCCACCACCTCCAACCACTCCTCCTCCACCACACCTCCATCACTTCTCCCCAACACCCCCACCTCCACCACTCCCCCAATACCTCCACCACTCCCCCAATACCTCCACCACTCCTCCAATACCCCCGATCACCGCCACATTCCGCACACAAAACAAAATCCAGCTAAATTGCAATCGCTTGTAAAAAATAGAAAAAACTAAAACTCTTCTTTGGCCGCTGTCGTTCAATGGACATTCAATCCCCCGACTTACGACCGCGGCCATGGATGTGAAGTGCTCTTGGAACCTCTATCTTTATCTCTGATCCTATCGTCCCGTCTCATAGCTTGCCTTCCATCCCTTTATACAGCATCGTGGGGGTCTGGCGGCGTCCGGGCTCACCAGGTGGGTCCTCCTCCTTAACCCACTTGGCTACCTTTCATTGCACGAGTGATTGGCTTTCAAGCTTTTATCTGTGTGTGTGTGTGTGTGTGTGTGTGTGTGTGTGTGTGTGTGTGTGTGTGTTTTTATCTCTTTCTCTTTCTCTTTCTCTCTCTTCCTCTGTCTGTCTGTCTGTCTGTCTGTCTCTCACCACACAAAGTTAGTATCGCGTCCCACCCTAGTATACACCGCCACCACCACCACCACAATCCGTCACACCACCAAACTCCGTCATACCACCACCGCAACACTCCATCACACCACGACCACCACTCACTGTCACACCACCACCACACACTGTCACTCCACCACCACCTTTCACACCACCACCTGGTCACACCACCACACCGTCACACCACAACCACCACAATCACCCACCACCACACGTACCACACACCGTCACACCACCACCACTGTCTGTCCACCACCACCACTAAACGCCGTCACCACCACCAAACACCACCACCCACCACACACCCGCGTCACACCACCACCTAGTCATACCACCACCACCCACATCACCACCACACCGTCACACCACCTCCGTACCACTACGTCAAACACCACCACCACCGTCACACTACCACCACACACCATCCACCGTCACACCACCACCACCACCGTCACACACACCACCACACAATGTCACACCACCACACCGTCACACCACAACCACTCACAATCACCCACCACCACATTCCGTCACACCACCACACATCATCACACCACTACCACACATCGTCACACACCGTCACACCACCACCACCGTCACACCACCACCACCAAACGCCGTCACACCACCACCACCACCAAACCCGTCACACCACCACCACCGCCATCACAACACAGCACACCGTACCACCACCACGTACCACACCACCATCATACCACACACGTCACACTGTACCACACGTCACACCACCACCACACCTCGTCACACCACGCACACACCACACACTGTCACACCACCACCACCAAACACCGTCAAACAACCACACACACCACTACCACACACCACCACACACCACCCCCACACACCACTACCAGTCCACCACGTCACACCACCACCACACACACCGTCACACCATCACACCACCATCCACACACCGTCACACCACCTCCAACCACGTCACACCACCACACACCGTCACACCACCACCACATACCGTCAAACACACTACACACACCGTCACACCACTACACACACCGTCACACCACCACACACACGTCACACCACATCAAACTTCACACCACCACCACACACCGTCACACCACCACCACATACCGTCAAACACCACTTCACACCACCACCACACACCGTCACACCACCATCACCACACCGTCACACCACCACCACACACCGTCCACCACACATCACCACTACACACAGCACACCACCACCATCACACTTCACACCACCACCACACACCGTCACACCACCACCACATACCGTCAAACAACCACTACCACACACCGTCACACCACCATATCACACCATCACACCACCACACACACCGTCACACCACCACCACATACCGTCAAACAACCACTACCACACACCACACCACCATCACCACACACTGTCACACCACTACCACACACTGTCCATCACACCCTCCACCACACACGTCACACCACCACAACCACACACCGTCACACCACCACCACACACCATCACACCACCCCCACACACCGTCACACCACTCACACCGTCACACCACCACCACACCGTCAAACAACCACTACCACACCACTACCACACCACCACCACCACACACCGACACACTCACATCACACCTCGCACACCACCACATCGTCACACACCACTACACACCGTCACACCACCACTACCACAGCACCACCACACACACAGTCATACCATCCACACATCGTCACACCACCACAACATTCCGTAAAAAAACCACTACCACACTTGTCACACCACCACACCACCACCAAAACACAGTCACACCCACCACCACCACACACCGTCACATCACCACCACACACTGTCACACCACCACTACCACACTCCATCACACCTCCACCACACATCGTCACACCACCACCACATACCGTCAAACAACCACTACCACACACTGTCAGACCACCACCACCACCACACACCGTCACACCACCACACACCGTCACACCACCACCACACTACGGGCTCTGGGAGTTTGTTTACGGAACAGTGTGAGTGCGGGTACTGGTGCCTAACGGACCCCGCGTCGGAACAGAGTAAAACCAACTTTGATGTTAGTTAAATAAAGAGGAAGCAGCAAGTAGACCATGCGCTTCTCGCTCTTGGTGCCTGGCGGGTATACAAAAACAAACCTAACCTAACCTAACCTAACCTAATCTAATCTCTTCTAATCTAATCAAATCTAACCTAACCTAACCTAACCTAACCTAACCTAACCTAACCTAACCTAATCAAACCTAACTTAACCTAACTGGACTATGTCTGGTTTTATAAGGAAGGAACTGCTGAGTACTGCCTTATATTACAGTGTATACGCGTTGGATAATTCTCGGACAGCCCGGTAAGTAATGGTTGTTGTCAGCTCTCTGAAGGTACTGAGGCCGGAGCCAACTTACCGCTTGCTTAACTTATTGAAAGGCTTTATTTAAAACTGTATTTTTTGTGTATGGTTAGGTTAGGTTAGGCTAGGTTTGGTTAGGTTTGGTTAGGTTAGGTTAGGGGCGGCTAATCCTCAGGTGGTCGAAGGTAACTGGTCATGAGTCAAGGTGTTACTCCAACTGTGATGTTAGTAAACAAACACTTAAGATAAACACAGCCACTTCCTTCATCTCTGTGTTCATATAAGAGGTAAACACACACTGCTTTTCCTTGCATTTACTTTATAAGACTCTAGAAATATAGTAAACTTATGCTTAGAGTCACTTCATAAGTAGTGACAATGCTATACACATCCACATATAACTTACTTTAGTAAACAAATACTTTTAGTTAAGTTCATTACGCTACAAATTTGTGGGAGCCAACACCACATCTACAGCAACACCTGTCTCTTAATTACCACCACCTCTGTGTATCCACCTGTGTGTGTGTGTGTGTGTGTGATGGAGGGTACCTGGCATTACAGGTCTAATAAAAAAACACACATTTCCCAGAACGACCTTAATTGTGGGAGTTTACTCAGGCTTCTTGTGGCGAGGCTCCACCTGAGGCTCCACCTCTCAACACACCTCAGGCTTATTATTTGTGGCGTGGGTCCTGAAGTGTTTGTGGCGTGGGTCCTGAAGTGTTTGTCCTGAAGTGTTTGTGACGTGGGTCTTGAAGTGCTTTGTGACGTGGGTCTAGTGTTTGTAACGTGGGTTCTGAAGTGTTTGTGATGTGGGTCTAAGTGTTTGTGATGTGGGTCCTTATGTTTGTGGCGTGGGTCCTAGTGTTTGTGGCGTGGGTCCTGAAGTGTTTGGCGTGGGTTCTATGTTTGTGGCGTGGGTCCTAAGTGTTTTAACGTGGGTCCTGAATTGTTTGTGGCGTGGGTCCTGAAGTGTTTGTGACGTGGGTCCTGAGGTATTTGTGATGTGGGGTTCAAGTGTTTGTGATGTGAGTCCTGAAGTGTTGTGGCGTCGGTCCTGTGTTTTGACGTGGAGTCCTGAAGTGTTTGTGACGTGGGTCCTGAAGTGTTTTGGCGTGGGTCCTGAAGTGTTTGTGGCGGTCTGAAGTATTTGTAATGTGGGTCCTGAAGTGTTTTTGACGTTGGTCTGAAGTGTTTGTGACGTGGGTCCTGGTGTTTTTGACGTTGGTCAGTGTTTGTGACGTGGGTCCTGAAGTGTTTGTAACGGGTTCTGAAGTGTTTGTGATGTGGGTCCTGAAGTGTTTGTGACGTGGGTCCTAGTAGTGTTGTGGCGTGTCCTGAAGTGTTTGTGGCGTGGGTCCTGAAGTGTTTGTGGCGTGGGTCCTGAAGTGTGTTTGTAACGTGGGTCAAGTGTTTGTGGCGTGGTTCCTGAAGTGTTTGTAGCTGGGTCCT